TCATGTCTGGAGTGGAGAAAGTAAATAAGGAAGTGTTATTTACTCCTCATAACGCAAGAACTAGGGGATCACCAAATGAAATGAATAGGCAGTATGTTTAAAAGAAACAAAAGGAAGTATTTCTTCACACAACGCACAGTCAATCTGTGGAACTCTTTGCCAGAGGATGTTGTGAAGGCCAAGACTATAAAAGGGTTCAAAAAAGAACTAGATAAATTCATGGAGGATAGGTCCATCAATGGCTATTAACCAGGATAGGCAGAGATGGTGTCCCTGGCATCTGTTTGATGGAGGCTGGGGTTGGGTGACTGGGGATGGATCGCTTGATGATTGCCTGTTCTGTTCATTCCCTCTGGGGCACCTGGCACTGGCCACTGTCAGAGGACATGGATGGGCTTTTGGTTTGACCCAGTATGGCTGTTCTTATGTTCTAATGCAATATAAAACCAGACGATCAATCCAAAGGGAATTTTCACTCTGTATGTACCGTCATGATATTTTAAAGACTGTAGCTAGGGGACACCTGAGATCGCACTCTAGTAAGTGAAGCAGACAACTTCTCTTAGAGAGCCAATGTTTAGTGATACAGTATAAACAAAAAAAAGTGATTTTGTTCTCTAGCTACAAGTCAGACTCTGGCATATCTGGCATATCTGCCATTAGATAGCCAATACCATAGCGTCCATTGGGAGCAGTATCCAGCGTTGGGGATCCAGTCTGTTTCCGGTATATGTTTTTACCAAAATTTGGAGATGGCAGCTCACTTGGAATCTTCCCATGAATCAGACTTGCATCATCTCCCTCTAGATTAACAGGCTCCTTTATTATCCGTCCTCTTTTGTAGGATACAGCGGCCAAACTACCAGAGCTATCATCAATAAGATTGCAGCGGCGGACTATGAAGACTATAGGGACTGGAAGTATGGCCAATATCATCAGAGATATACAGACAATCATTCCCCAGGGTGGATAGCTCAGGAACTCCTCAGTAGCCTATGCGGGCCAAGAGAAACACAATTAATACATTGTTACTTAATAAAAGACAAAGCTTGCAATCCTAACCCAGACGAAACTCCTATTCATATCACACATTAACTTCCCCCAAATTTTGATTAGCAGTCAACCCCAGATTTGGTGTTGCTACATGAGATGAAATAAGCACTAAAAGCAGTGCTAATATTGCAAAAAACCTAGAAAACAGAACATTACCAATTCTTTGCTGAAAAACCATATAGCTAGATTTCCTAGAAACTGAATGTCCTTATCCCACTATGCTAGACAATCATAGATTGTTCTATAAAGTAGCAGTTCACTGATATGCTGTTCCAGCTTCCAGGGGGAGTGGCCATGAAATGCCTAATCTGAATATTTAGTTCTATGAAAGCTGATGACAACAAAGTGGTGAAACAACTGATGCTAGCTCAGTGCCACCACCGTGTATTCTGCTTTAATTCAAACAACCAAACAAACAAATGCCTTAACACCTCCCCCTTTCACCCTCTCTCACACATGCAACCTAACAAATCAGCACTGACACAAAGGATAAAAGGGAGGTGTCAGCCAGTGACTACCTTTTTGGAAATGAAAGAACCAATGCTATATTAAAGGTAATGATGTTTTTGTATTAGTATAACTAGAAACAAAAGTGGCCATGTTTACATTTGTAATGAACTATATGAATTACAAAAGTGTCTTTTCATGGGCTAGCAAAAGCACTTTAAATACATGTTACATTATTCTGGCAATTACTTACCTTTTCTTCAATCCATGCATTGTAACCAGGAGGACTTAATCCCATTTGGACAATACTAGCTACCAGCAAAAATAACAATACTACAGGGGAAACATACTTCCACATGTAGTAATAATATTGGTTTGGAGAAAAACCAAGCATATCCTTTAGGTCCTCCATAAATCTGGGGAGAAATGCACATTATTATTAGTTCAGAAACTGAGGTTTTGAGTGTATGTAGTTGAGACATATCAGCTAATTTGCAACAAGAGGCACACCAATAAAGTGTAAAAATAGAAATATCTGCACTTAGATCAATTATATGGTTTACACATAGTACCTATATTAATAATGGGTTGAATCAGCTCAGATCAAGTTCACTCAGAGTGCTAGAAAACTTAGGTTTGAATCCTGATTAAGCCACAAGCAGAAATGAGTGTGATTCCTAAATGATGTTAGGCCAATATTTAGTTCCTGGTGTGTCACAAATATAGATCAGATTACCCTAAAATAAGTAAGAAACATATTTTGAATGTTGATGAATCATTGTGAAAATCCACAGTATTCAGCTCAGAAAGATTTAACACTGGTGTTTAGGGGTGATACATGAGGAAAAAAAAACCCACTGTTATAAGTTTTCCAACCCATTCTTGCAGCTGTCTGCTAGTTCAAAGATGCTACCCCAAACCAGTATAAGTGTAAAAAGAAATATTACCCTGAACCCAACGCAAAACCTACTGAAGTGTTTATGTTGTGCTGGGATATCTATTTAGGCATGTGCCATTGCTTTTGAATTCACATACAAGCACGGCACCAGAAAGAACAAAATAGGTGTTACAAAACTAATTTGGAATTCAAGTGTGCTATATATTATAATAAATTACATTATCAACAAGCTACCATTTTGCACCTTATCAGTTGTTGAATGACTGTGTGAGGTCTTGACTCTGCCACTGTGCCTTCGTAGTGCAACATATGTTTTGAACCAAGCCTATTGTTTTAGGACTTTCTGATGAAAAAGGACACATACTCCAATGCCAGCAGAAAATGAGAGTGTTAACTTAGAACTGGTTCCTTTTGGGTTTTGTCAGCAAACTCTGATGGCATTTTAACACTTTTGCTGTTTCATTTCCCTATTTGAATGTTACTGTAACAAAATGCTTCTACTGTAATTAACTTTGTGGAAGAAATGCCCCATGCAAGATTACTATGACATAAAATCTCATCTAATTCCTGGAAACATACCACTGAGAATATACTTCATTGTGAGCAAAGGACATAGTTAAAACCAGTGAAAATAACCGATTTCACAAATGGCTTTAACCCTTGGTATATAGCTCCCCTTTCTCCACCATAGCAAACATAAGCTACTTGTCTTCACTTTTAAGATTTTTCATGACCTATCCCCACACTACCTATCATCTCTCATACACAGTCAAGATGTCATCTCCTGCCTCTGATCTGTCAATGATGACAGCCTTCATCACCCACTTGTTACATTTTCAAACACTTTCTTACTTTCTCCTATGCTGCTTCTCATGCTTGGGAGGTGCTTCACATAAGCATCCACAAGGTCACCTCCCTCAAACTCTCCTTTGCTGTGATGCCTACAGAAAACTTGAGGGTTAGGTGCTGTGCTGAGACCACTGCCTATCAGTCTGATCAATATTGTCTCACGTTTCCTTGTGTTCCCCCGTCGGTCTGTATCCACCTGCTGTCTCTTTTCTTACACTTAGATTATTAGCTCTATGGGGCAGGCACTGCCTTTTTGTACTGTTTGCCGAGCATCTACCACAATGTGCTCCTGACCTTTGACTGAAGCTCCTAGGCCTGATAATTAATAGCTACTTGTCAATGACAGTTTGAGTGCTTTCGATTCAAGTGGTCTCTGCAAATAATATTGGGTTCCATACTAAGGTTAGTGTGGGGAAATATACACCATCAGTGATGTATAGAGCTTAGCAATGAGTTCACAGGTCAGTCTGAATGCTGGACTACAGTACATGCCGTGACTCATAGACACTTTCAGTTGAATCATCAGGATACCCCGTGGAACCACTGACAAAGTAATACCTTGGACTGATAAATCAAGACAGGAGACAAATGCATTTGACATATGTAGGGTCAATGCTTCGAGATTATTAAATCTGAGACTAGATTTACAACAAAGCCATATTCTTTTCATCATCTGCGCTGATTAGTTGATTGAAACTGTTTCCTTTGAATTTGGATCTGGGTACCCTGATCCATGACTGTGACACCTCAAGACTAGATTAATGCAATGCATTTTGCATGGGACTTTATCTTGACTCAATCTAGAAACTTTAGCTGGTGTAGTATGCAGTAGCCAGTCTAGTAAGTAGTGCACCTTGATGAGAGTGTGTGACATTACAGTTCCAGGATCTGCACTGGCTGACTGTTGGTTTCTGTATTTTTAGTCTAATTAGTGTGTTGATTTTGACCTAAAAAGCCTTAAATGGGCTGGCGCCTTCCAACTTGAGAGACTATCTCTGATGTCATATTGTCAAATAATTAAATCTGTCAAAAATCATATATTGTTCCTCACCCACTACTCTAAGTATGTTTAGCTCTTCTTGAAATCCTTCCATTGGCTTCCCCTTGCTGTATAGATCAAATTTATACACCTCTTCCTTGACTTCAAGACCTTTCTCATCCTGCCCATCTCTCTGACCTTGTCTCTTGCCACTGACTTCCTCTTCTCTGTTGCAGTGGTCTAATCAACCCTCTGTGTCCCTCTACTACTCGTGCTTGAAGGCCTTCTTCCATACTGCCCCCATAGATTTAGAACCCTCCTCCTACGCTGGTCCAATATATTCTCCAAATCCATTCTTAAAAATGCACTTCCCTCAGGAGTCCTACAACCACAGGCTCACCCACCCTGACACCCATAACCTACCAGAAATAATGTACCTACACACACAAGAAAAAAACAACCCCAAGATGAAGACTTGATTTCACTCTTCAGTTCATCATTCCCCTTCCCTTCTCTGTTTTTGTATGCTGCCTAGATAATTTGAAAGCTCTTTGGGGCAGGGATCTGTCTTTACCTCATCCAGTGGGCTGCTGATCCTACACAACTAAAACAATAACAAGGATAATGATGAAAAGCATCAACATATTAACCATCACAGAAAGGAGCAACTCCATTTCCTGAACTTACTTGTCTATCCCATAAACTTGAGAAATGGCAATATTCTCCAAAATGACCACAATAAGTAGAGGCAGAGTAGCAGAGTAATCATCAAACATTGTGACAAAATAATTTCCAGAGCGCTGCACAAAGATCAGGCCAATTAAAAACGCCACCAGACAGCAGATGACTGGAACAAAGGACAGAAATTAGAATTGTAACCATAATCATGCATCAGAGAAAGAAAGGAAGGAAGGAAGAAAGAGTTACCAAACATCAAAATAATTATTGTTTTGCTTTATTCTAGGTTGACACTAGTTTTCCCTTCTTTTCTTCCCACCTTTGCACTGGCACAGTAAAGCCATCAAAGGAATCTTAGCCATTCCCTAGGCAGCAAACAGTCAAAAATTTGAAGTAATTACTAGAATGTAAGGCAGCCCTGATTCAGCAAAATAAGTTCTTTGCTGAATCAAGGACTATTTATCATTAGACACTTAAAGTGAATGTAAGGGTAGAATCCAGGAAAACAGTACGCTTAATGCAGTGCATGCTGTGAACTGGTCCTTAGTTCTCTCTTTCCATCAACTAAAGTTAAGTGCGTCAAAATTTTAGACCAATTTTTTAAAACCAAACAACTATATAGGTTTACTAGGTAGAATCATTCACTGCCACTTTGATTCAGATTGCATTCACTTGCCATGGGAACTATTTGCATTTACTTGCTTTCAGAGCAACAGCATCATAATCTTTTCTTCTTCTAAAGTCCAGCAGGAAATCTCCATCCCAAAGTCAATGAAATTCAGTGATGAAAGTCAATGGGATTTCTGCCATTGGCTTCAGTGGGAGCAGGACTGGACCCTACAATAGTAATACAGTGAGACAAATTCTGGAAGAATTTGAAGTTGGTTGTACTCCGAACAGATAAGACTTGTAGGATTGGCCCCAAAGTGTAACAGTATCCCATAAAGGCCACTTGTTATACTCCAGCCAATATATGTATTGACTTAAGTACTGTAAGGAAAGAGAACAATAATTTTGTAAATACGGTCATATAAAAATAAATGTATCTTTTTTTATCATGTAGCCACAGTTGTTTACTTTATTAATGTCTTTTGGAGAAAAAAGTTTTGAATTAAAGCATTGCAGAAGAAACAGCTATTAAAATAAAAAATGGATGTTAACCATAGCATTCAGGGCCCAACACAAATTGACAAAAGCAGGGAAAGTTAGTGTGGAATCTTCAAAAGGCCTCAGCACTGGCCTAATTGCTCCTACTGAAATCAATATGAGTTATCCTAGAAACTTCAGTGAAACAGATTTAGCCCCATACTGTGTGCTTTGGAAAATCCCACCCTCAGACTTTAGATTATCCCTGAATCGTTAACTCTTCCCTCTGTGCCTTCATGTTGTAGATAGCCAGAGTATGCAATAATCTGTATATGGAGACTCTGATGATAGCACTAATGTCACTGAACACATACACCCCAAAGTATTTAAGCATGTGATAAGTCTCAGTGAAGGCAATGGAGATTCGAAGATACTTGAGTGCTTTGCTGAATCAGGCCCATAATGCTGCAAGTTACAAATGCAGGAACCACTTTAATCAAAATTACAGATGTGTGGGTATCTATGACTCTTCATGCCAAATTCTCCTGTTGGTGTTTATGCTGTGCAATTCAACTGGCATTGGATGGGATGTAATCCAGGGTAGAATTTGGAGATTAGAGATCAATTCTGAAAACATTTTATTGTGAAGTGCTAAAATTGTATTACGTGGCAACAAGGCATTCATATACACATTCAGAACAAGTAGCTAATTTTCAAACTATATTAATGTTACAAGAGTTATTTGATAGGGTTTTAAAGAAGCAAAAGAACTTAAGGACTGTGTTTCAGAAGTGGTGAGCATTTCTATTCAATGGCTCAGCACTCATGAATATCTGCTGATTAGCCTTTGTGAAAATTGTAAGGCCCTGATCAAGCAAACAGCTGAAGCACATGTTTCCTTGTTAACTAAGTCCTCCAAGGCCAGATTTTTAAAGCTATTCAGGCACCTAAGATTTAGACAGGTGCCTAGTGGGATTTTCAAAATTGTATAGGAGCCCATGGGAGCCCAGTGCATTACTGGCCAGGCCTAACTCTCAGTAAAAAAGTATTTTTTATGAATGGTGGGTGCAGGGATGCTATCTTCCTCATAAATATCTGACATAGGACATTTCTGGCAGTAGGCAATCAGAGTGAGTGGGCAATTTGCTTGGTCCACTGTGGTAGTTCTATAGACTTTCTGAACTGCAAATTTCATCTCACCGTTTATTTCTTTACCTCATTTTTTTTCTCTATCCAAAGAAAAGATTAGTAAAAGATGGTTAAGGATGCCCCATTAATCACTCATAAATCAGGACAAGCCACTATTAAGGCTGCATGTGAAACTTTCATTCCTCTTTGTGCATAACTTTTAGCATTTTATATTTATTTTTTTCATTCTTTTCTATTTACATTGTCATACTTGTCTATGCTTGAATGGCGAACATTTGGGGGGACTTAAGAATGACTGACTTTAAAGGAGCTCACAATGGAAACTGTTATACAACTTGAATTACACACAATAAAAATTCTTTATGGAGCTATGTATAGGGGGGTGGGGAATAGAGAGTACAGACTGGTCTGCAGTTAAATTACACTATACTATATTCTATGGTGCAACTCTTCATGCCAATAAAAACATGAAATACCTCTTATTCTTCTCCAAGGAAGTGAGGAGGAGACCTATTTTATTGGGCTAATGAGAGATGAAAACTTGTAAAACTCACCAGTAAGAATTTCTTTCCTCACTTTGAAGGTATCAACAATAGGTGTGATGATTCCTTCAATGGTTCCAAACATACTGCCAAGTCCCAAATTTACCAGCATGAGGAAGAACATCACTGACCAGAAAGGAGAAGCAGGGAAGTGGGTCATTGCTTCTGTAAAGGCAATAAAAGCTAAACCGGTGCCTTGAACAGCCTGTCAATAAGAAATCCACATGAGATGATTAATGGAGACAACAAAGCAAACTGTGAGTCAAAGTAACAGTGGGTCAGTATTTATTTACATATTTTTGTAAGCTTGCGTACACAAATTCTGCCTCCCACTCCAGGCACCAGCTTGGCAAGCAGGTGCTTGGGGCGGCCACGTCGGAGAGGGGCGGCAGGTCCAGCTATTCGGCGGCAATTCGGCGGACGGTCCCTCACTCCCGCTCGGAGCGAAGGACCTTCCGCTGAATTGCCGCCGCAGATCACCATTGCGGTCTTTTTTTTTTTTTTTTTTGGCTGCCTGGGGCGGCTAAAACCCTGGAGCCTACCCTGCTCCCACCCATAATATTGCATTCTCTAAATGTTTGAAAATCAGGCTCATTATATTTTATGATCTCAGGATCAGTATATCTGATCTCAGGACCATAGCATACAGTAGCTCAGTGCAGAGACACTGATTAGGGGCCTGATCCAAAAAATCTGATTGGGGCTTTAGATGAGGCCCATCTGTTTACAGATGAGGCTGTTCAGAAAATAAAGCCAATTTTAGATATACAATATTGCATTCTTTGTATTTCACAGTAGCAGATGGCTAATAAAATACCTACTCATTCATAATTTTTGCATTGAAGACACAAATATCATTCTAACCTTATTAAGCTCATCTTCGATCTGACAGGATTTCAGGCCAAGAGCAGGAAATTCTTCTTCTTTAACTTTTTGAATGATGTCATAAACTAAATTGTAATCATCTCCTGTAATGCTAGAGAAATTAATATGATGGGGGATCATATCCTGGCTCAGATTGCCTATTTTCAAAAGATTTAAAATCTTTTCTGAATTTCTGTAAAACACAATGAAATAGTGATAATAAATCAGAGGATTTCTTGTGTGAATTCCTAAGTGAAATATACCATAAAAATGAAGGAAAAAAATGAATATTCATACTGGGTAATGCATTTCTCATTTATGATATTTGCTTTGAAGCCCAGGACAGCAAACACCACCAAAGTTGCCAGCACAGAAGTGAAAAAATTGATGAAGGACACCAGAACAGCATCGAAATGGCAGTTGTTGTCTCTCTTGTTGTAGCTTGAAAAGGCAATGACTCCACCAAATCCAAGCCCTAAGGCAAAGAACACCTGAGTAGCAGCTTCTCTCCAGACCTTGGGCTCCAGCATTATTTCAAGCTGTTTGAAATTAGACACAATATATGTCAGCTACAAAATACAGTACTTCTTTTGTATGGATAGACAACATGCAATCCTGTAAGATAACCCACACAAACTAAAATGCTAAAGCCCAAATTTATTTATATAGTATTAGAACAAAAGCTGAATATTAATTCTACCACTGGAGGAATGTATGGACCAAGATTTCCACTGGCATTAAACACACAGTCCAAGAGGAACATAATGAGGCACTATTGGCCAGTTATGTTCATTGTTAAAATAGTAGCTAGTTGTACCCTGGTATTGGAGGCCACATTGTAGTACGTTTCTAGTTTAACTGGGTTAATTGATTTGAGTTGCAATTGTTAAGATATTTTGGGATACAATTCCTTTATAAAATTAAAATAAAGTATGTTGAAGATTGTTTGAATAGCAAAAATGAATTACATGAAGCATCATGTGGAATTCTGTTGTGTTAACAAGCGAGAGTTCTGTGAATGCACTTACATTATAGTCTGTGCAGAAAGATTCAATGAGCAGACTAAACTCTGGCCACTATAACCTTTGCTGATATCTGTGGGTCAAATTCTGTCTTCAAATATACACATAAACCTCTCACTGACTTAAACAGATCACATATCCAAGTGAAAATTTGGCCCTGCACTGAAATTTGATTGTAAATTCCATTTGCATTGCTTCTTTAGCCAATCCAATTTCAATGAATGCCTTTGGTGAAACTAGATAATTTATACTGCATTCACCTTGGATCTACCCAATTAGTAGATCACAACAGAATAACAACACTGTCTAGTTCTTATATGTGTTGTTTTTCTTCCATAGATCTCAAAGAAGGTCAGAAGTTGATGGTTATGTTGGACATATTAGATTTGTCTACTGAGATCAAACTGAACCATACCTTCATAAATATGTTATGAAATTATATATAACATTAAAAGACCTTAATTTTGATGACATACTTTGTATTTAAATTTCATTAGTTTTATAAGAAAATAAAAGCATCAAAATAGTTACATTAATTTATTGTTTGTCCTTACTTTAAGCAAAATATGCCTCAAGCTACTTTAATACAATTTTAGAAAAGTTTCCAACTTCCTGTAAAAACTGAAAGATTATATATATCATATGTAAACTGTAAAGGAGCTGTTTTCATAAATCTAATTCTGGTCCTGGAAGTCCTGACAAATGGATCTTTAGTGTGAAGGTGGAAATATATATTTTTCTGTAAGATGCACAGTACTGTAATTACAAATGGTACAAACAGATATGCCGTACTCTACAGATACACCTCTATCCCGATATAACACGACCCGATGTAACACGAATTTGAATATAATGCTGTAAAGCAGCGCTCCGGGGGGGCAGGGCTGCACGCTCCGGCAGATCAAAGCAAGTTTGATATAACGCGGTTTCACCTATAACGCAGTAAGATTTTTTTGGCTCCCGAGGACAGCGTTATATCGGGGTAGAGGTGTACTTCAGATGTTGTATGTATCTATCACACAATCATTTCTAATGCTTGATCACTAGATGGAGCTAAATATACACTCTTAATTCCTACCAGCATGTCAGAACATTTTTTTTCACATTTTTATTTACTCTGTTAATATAGAGCATTTTCATTTCAGTTTTTGTGCAGTATAAGGAAACATTTCTCCACATACTGTGATATTTCTCCCCAAGTAACTGACTTTAATGGGCTTTGAATCAGGCCCATATATATTTCATTTGCTACTCTATCTACATCAAGCCAATGTTCAAGTGACAATCTTCTAGTTATATATACTGCAAACAACATTATCCTCTCCTGTATTTACACCATCACTCGAGAGTAATGAAAATCAGGTTTTGAGACACATATCTAGAGACCAATAGAAAATATTAAGAATAAAATTTTTCTTTAAACAATATTTATTTGAACAATTTTATTACTAACCTCTTTTAATTAAAAAATCATCAGTATTATTTGTAATGTACTCATCACTATGTTTAAATCATGATTGGCCAACTCCTAAGAGATGCTGAATTCCTTTTGCTCAGTGGGAGCTGGGGAGCTTAGCTTCCTTCAGGATCTGGCTCCAGAGTGTTTTTATGATTAAAAGAAAGATAGTCTTGTGTTTGAAGCACTGAACTGCAAATCAGGAGCTCTCTTTTAAAAGACTCAACTACATCTCAGGAGCTCTCAGTTCAAATCCTGCCTCTGCTACAGGTTTCCTGTCTGACCATGGACAAGTCTCTTAATATCTCTGTGCCTTGGTTTTCCATCTGTAGAAATTGGGATAACACTTCCTCACAACCACCCAGCAACTGTCTTGTCTATTTAGCTGGTAAGCTAATTTAGGGTACGGACTGTCTCTCACTATGTGTTTGTACAGTGCCTAGCATAATGGGCCTGGATCTCAGTTAGGGAATCTTAGCATTACTATCATGCAAGTAAAAAACAATATGATTGCTAACACAGGTCGTTTTAACCTACTGATGGTGCTCCTGACATTCAAACAAGGGGTAACCTTCTTGTTATTTTTCTCTGGCCACGATGACCCCTTCAATTTTATCATATATTAATTAAATATTCATCTGTGAGGGCCAGTCCTGCTTCCACTGAACTCAACTGTGGAACTGGCTTGTACAGAAACAGGAACAGAGCCTGTATGTGTTTCTGAGCAGGTAGGCTCTAAGGGCTTGATCCTGTGCCACTGAAGTCAATGGAAAATGTCCCATTTATTACAATGGGAGCAGGAGCAGGCCCTGAAAGAAGGCTGCTAAGCCCAGTGTTTTATTATTCAAAGAATTCATAAATGAACAATTTGCCATTGAAGCCATAAGTGCACATTCAATGGAAACTAAGCACATACCTTAGGTGTAAACATGTGACGAATTCCATCCATGGAACCATTTAAGAGCAGTCCTCTGACTAGAAAGCATATAAGTACCACATAAGGGAAAAGGGAACTAAAATACATGATCTGAAAAACATTAAAAGAACATTAAAAAGACATGCATGGCGTGTTTTTTTTTCAGAGTTTCATTTTCTATAGTCAGTGTCTTTTCATGGTACAATTGCATGACCAAGATTAAATTGCAAGACAGACTCTCTGTTCCCCTCTATGGGGCAGAATGGAGCAAAAGTAAGGTAACATTGCTCAAATGGTTCCCCAAATTGCAGAAAAAGTTATAGTACAACATCTGGTCTGGTTGGTTGAAAAACACAGAATTGGGGTTCCATGGAAATCCAATGGGTATGTCAGTCCTGATGAGAGGAGTGGAGAGCAGCCACTCTTAAGGACTTTGCTTCTGCTTCTAAATGTACTCTGTTTCAGGCAGAAATCAAGATGAAGAAAGTAGCTGCTTTTTGCAGCATTGTTATAATCTGCAACTTGTACTCCCTTTGGAAGAGGGATAACAGGTAGCCCAGTGGCTTCACCCCACCAAATAATGTGTACTGCCAAGAAGGAAGGGGAGCCCAAAACAGTGTGCAAATGCCCCAAAATCCATGGGATTTCAGCCATGTTGCATAGGGATTGGACCATTCCCCCTCACCTGAAGATCACATCTCACTGGGCTAGTAGGCAGAGAAGTTAGTACACTTTAGAGCCCTAGAATCCAGACCAACTTTCTGAGCCAGGAGAACCCTACTCCTACACTCTACAGCACCGATGCAGCTAAGGACCAGGTTTTTACTTTATACTTGAGGGCTGACTTCATTTGGTTTTACAAGCATAAAGCTTAATTTTCTGAGGTACTTGTAACCCCTTGTGATAAATATCTTTTTGCTTTATTGTTAACTTATCTGATCTCATATTGGAAAGAAAACAGAATCCAGTAAGTGAAATGCTATCTTTCATTCCTTATCTGTTCTTGAAAAGGTTAGTAAATGGGTTTGGTGCTTGAAAAACTCAATCGTTTTATTATATGTCAAAACAGGCCACACTTAAATAATTTCTGTTACTGGAATATGCTAAAGAGGCATGTGATAATTCCCCATGATCTGATGTAACATCCTATCACAAGATTTTCTGATCGCAAAGAACTGGGCAGATGATGCTGTCAACAATGAGGCGCCAGAACCAGCCAGTCTTAAGGGCAATTGTTTTTTTCTTATCTGGGGCTGTATGTAGAGGAAAGATGAATTCCCTTAAATTTGGCTAGTATTTTATAATACAGCCTGACATTATGACTCAGTCCTCTTGCCTCCAGGGCAGGAGATTATGGGTGGAAGTTCTAGGTGAGTACTTCCAGTCATGTTAAATACAAATTTTGCAGATTCACTTAGGATCAGGAATAACTGGAGGACGAACCTGGGGGGAGGATTATTGCCATTGCCACCTTCTAGGTCCACCCCAAAATGCCCCTCCATAAACTTCAGACCTTCCTGCAGCATTCCGCAGGTGTCTCTTTTCTAAATGCTAGTTAAGATAGCCCGATTTACGACCCAACCCTGTTAACATTTACACTCACATGTAATTTTATTGACAGTCCCAGTTTTAAGAATTACTGTGATGCATAAAATTTCCACTGAACCCTGTAGGTGCCTAAACTCACGCGGCACCTAAGATTTTACTGTAAAATGTACTTAGATACCTATGACTCTGCCTCTGAGAATGTACACATATCCCGGAAAGATTGGCTTTCTGTCTCCTCAGTCATGTGTGGGGCCTGATGGTGGACAGCCTCCAAACACAGCTAATGGATTGGGCGGGCCCCTCAGGTGAATTTACACAAAACAGACAGGAGAAGAAGGAAGAGGACAACTTCCCTCATAACATTTAGCCCAGTGATTAGAGTATTCTCCTGGCACGTGGGAGACTCACAGTTCAAGACCCACTCTCCCTGAGGAGGTGAAGGGATTTGAGCAGGGATCTGCCACTGGGCTATGGCATATTCTGATGTGGGAGAGTTCTCCTCCTGAAGCAGTGCACTCTGGATAATTAGTCATTGACACAGGAGGGCTGGGTCCTCAGTCCCCACCTCCCAGTGCTCTCACCACTGGACTATAGAGTCATTTTCATGCTTGTCCTCTCTTTTACTTTCTTGCTGGCCCAAATGACTCTTTGACACAGAGAGCACACATGAGAGAGAGTTCAAGCATTAGAATTACTCTGTAGCATCTATCGCTCTCCTCCTCAGCAGCAGCAGCCAAAGGGGATGGCTAATCGAAAAGGTTGAAAAGGAACAATGAAGGCTTCCAAAGGGAGCTGTATCCAGCCCTCATGATAAAGGATGTTACAGCAGCATGGACCTCTGTCAGACAGAGGATCAAAATGATAACGGATCATAAGGAACCAATCTACCATCCTGTAAATGGGCATGGATGTGGTAAGAGCCATCTCACCTCTTTATCTGATACACAAATGTATGCACAGATATCAGTGATGCAATAAAACAGAGGTGAAATTACCTGCATTATTTATGTGACAAGAAAACAAAAAGGGTTCTCAGACTTCAGCACTCCCTCTCTTTTTATAACCATACATTATGTCTACAGTTTTAATGCTTAGGTACCAACAGTTCTCTACCCGAGATTATAAAAATGCTAGATGAGTCACAACCTTTAGTCTGCCCGTGCAGATTTTATGAGAGGGTAGGCAAAGGAAGTGGCAAGTAAGAATGTACAGAAAGTAAAACACTGTAATTAAGATAAAGAATATACTCACTTTGCCTGAAGACTGAATGCCTTTGATCATTGCCAGGCAAACCAGAATCCAGGCAGCCAGCAAGCACAGAGTCATTTTCCAGTTCAGACCCCCACTCTCTGAGAGAGAGTTGGAAATGTTCAGTGCTTCTCTGTACCAGTAATAGGTGGTGGCAGAGCTTTTTTCACACTCAGGCTCCACAACTGGCAAAAAAGTCAACAAATCATTATTGATCTTTGGATGTTGGGTAAAAAGTACTTTCACAATCTTACAGCAAAGCATCACAGCAACCTTGAATTAGTTCTTATATATTTTATTACCATGGGGGCATCATTTTAAAGTCTATTAATATGAAAATATCACAGTTCAAAGATGGAATCTGAGACCTACTGAATGGAAAGTTTTGAATACGGCCCTTGAAAAAATACCCAACTGTACTCCCCAGAAGTGAAATTCATTTGTGCGCAGAACACCAACCCAAAGCCTATGAATCATTTAAATCCCATGTAAGCCCTCAAAATAGGTCTTTGAGTAGTGCAAAGGCCTTGGACATAGTTTTCTGCACAAAGTTGAATTTAATCAATTATGCATAAATTAGACTTTCTGCATTATAAAGCTGTGAATCATGTGCCAGGTTTTCCATTATCATTATGGAAAGTAATTTACTATAAAGTTATTCTGAAATGTAGATGATGTTAATTTTGAAATAAATATGGTGAAGCCATTTTCAAATAAGGGTGTGTGATGGGATGTACTAGGCCTTCATGGCCCCCTGCTGGAGGCCTCACTGCTCTGCTACACCCTACCCCAGGAAGCAGCAAGGTGGAAGGGAAAGGCAGCAAAGGTGAGTCCTCCAGGCCTGCCTAGAGAGGCCTCACTGTAGAAGCCATCTTGGAAGCTAGAGAGACTTGTCCTCCAATGGCTAGAAGGACAAACAACAGCCAATCAGAGCCCAGCAGGCTTAGATAAAAGGAGCTGCAGGGCCTTTGCAGATCCGTTGCTGGATGGGACCAGAGGAATGAGGAAGGGGGCTCCTCTCTAGCCAAAGGAGCCTGACAAGTAGCCAGAGTTTAAGGCTGGCTGCACTTACTCTTGAGATTGCAGACATTGGCCCTGAGATAGAGCCGGAAGGGCCTGGGAGGAAGAGGCCCAGGGAAACCGCAGCAGAGGATTGGAGTAAGCAGTATGTGGCTGCTGTGTATAGAGTCCTTAGGTGGGCCCCCAGAGGAGGGGATGTGCCTAGGTTCCCTTATGGGCCACTTGTAAAGTGGCATAAATGCCAGGAAGAGGAGAGGCCTTATCTGGGAGCCCAAACAATGCGCCATATTTAAAGGGCCCAGAGCCAGGGCTGAAGACTGAGGGCAAATAGACTGTTTAGTTATTGGACTCTTTAATACCTGGAAGGAATTATTTTGGACTTTTTGACTTGACCACATGGCCAAGCTACTGAAGACACAGCAAGGTTGGCCAGCAGCATGCAGGGGTTCAGTCACTAGGAGGTGCTCAAGAGGTGAGTGCTCTTTTACAGGGTGCCTCAACAGAATATCCATATCTTACACACACACACACACACACACACACACACACACACACACACACACACACACACACACACACAGAGTACGTGACGAGGTACGGACAACT